ATATATATACAGATATACAGACGTGCACACATTGCTGCATGATTATGATAATCAGCATGATCCTCATCATCGTTAACATCATCCCCATCATCTTCATCGTCGCCGTGGTCATATTCACAATCATCATCACAACCATCATCACCACCACCATCATCATCAACATCGTCATCACCATCGTCATCATCGTTATCGTCATTAACGTAATCGTAAGCTTCATCGTCGTCATCATCATCATCATCATCACCATCACCATCACCATCACCATCACCATCACCATCACCATCACCATCACCATCATCATCATCATCATCATCATCATCATCATCATCATCATCATCATCATCATCATCATCATCATCATCATCATCGTCATCATCATCATCATCATCATCATCATCATCATTAACACCTTCTTCGTCGTCGGCGTTGTTGTCGACAATCATCGTCGTCATCAGCCTCATCACCCTCAATATACTGCAGTCCTCTCCCCTTATGTGTTCCGTTCTATATATCCCCATCATCCTATGCTCATCCTCCTCCTCGACGGCGTCTCCCTGAACAAGATCCCTGTTCCTTCACCTCGCCCTTTTCCTCCTCCTGCTCCTCCTTATCCTCCTTGTCTTCTCCGCTCTCCTCAATAATTACGTTACTCCTTGTGTTCCTTCACCTCCTTCACCTCCTTCCTCCGCTCGAGTCCTCCTCATCCTTCGCTCCCCTTGCCTCATCGTCCTCAGCATCCCTCCCCGAGCCCGATAATCCGAAAGCCAGCAAATCTAACAAAAATGATGTGAAACCTGTTGTACTGTGCCTATGGAGGTCGGCGCGCCGCCAAGGGCGACACGCCCCGCACACGGAGCGCGCCCCCACGGAGCTCCATGAACGGTGCCAGGAACTGAATCCGCACGGCGTCCCTCCGCCTATCGCGGCACACCTTTCACACGACTCTATTGGGAGCCGTTTGGGGGCGTCGTGAAAGCGTTTTGGGGACCCTTGAGCCCATCTTTGGGCCATATTGGACCAACTTGGCGGCCTCCAGGGCCGTCTTCAGGCCATCATGGGTCGTTTTGGGGCCTCTTGGGGGCCTCTCGGAGGCCTCTTGAGTGCCTCTTGGGAAACTCTTGGGGGGTCCTGTTGGGGGGCCTCCTGGAGGCTTCTGGGGGCCTCCTGGGGGCCTCTTGGGGCCGAGGGCCCGAAAAGTCTGGTCCGATCCCCCGTCTGGGCCCCTCCATAGAACTGGTTTGGGACCTCTTGGGCCGTCTTGGAGGCCTCTTACGCCGTCTTGGGGCCCTCTTAGGCCATTGTGGGGCCGTCTTGGGAGCCCCTTCGGCCGTTTTGGGACGACCTTGGGCGCCTCTTGGGACGTCTTGCAACGTCGGGAAACCGGAAGGGCGAGAACCCCAAAAACATACAAAAACACAACAGCCAACAAAGTGTTTCTCTGTCTGCCCTGTTGGGGAGCCTCTTGGGGGCCTTTTGGGGCGTCTTGGAGGGCTCTTGGGCCATGTTCGGGACCTCTCGTGCGTCTTGGAGCGATTCTTAGCCGTCTCGGGGCCCTCGTGGACCATCTTGGGGGCCTCCTGGGGCCGTTTTGGAAGCCTCTTGGGCGTCTTGAAGCCGGTTGGAGGTGCCGGGGAAAGGGTATCAAAAAAGGAAACCGATGTCACGGTGATGGGCGGGGCGCTTTTCGGGTGGGGGGGGGTATGTGTGTATACATATATGTATATATATGTATACATATATATACAAATATATAACTACGCAAACACACATACACACATACACACACATCTATTCATATTTATATACACACATATATATAGTTCGCTGAGGCTTCTCGGGGGCCAGTCTCCTTTTTGGGACACAACAGGGCCAGGCACAGACCTGGAGACTGGCACGGGCGAGCACCGGCGAGGCTGGCAAACGAGTGCGCGCAGTGGCCCATACCCACTCGATAATATCTTGCGCAGAAGAGGCGAAATACGGGATGGCATTGGGAAAACTTTGAGCCAAGATGCGAGTACGTCCACCCTGGCGCCAGCGCTTAGCATTCAGTTGTCAAAACTACCAGCTCGCTGAGGCTTCTCGGGGGCCAGTCTCCTTTTTGGGACACAACAGGGCCAGGCACATATCTGGAGACTGGCACGGGCGAGCACCGGCGAAGCTGGCAAACGAGCGCGCGCGGTGGCTTTACATTGCAGAAAGAATGGCAGAAAGCTTGTATCACCGCATCGCAAGAAACTGAAGGGCCCGAGCGGGCTGGATGGTGTGAGCTTCAATGATACAGCGAGCGGCGGCCTGTGCAAGAGGACGCGGGCACTCCGCCGCAGTGGCAGTTCGTTTCCGCCCGTGCTCATCGCTGCCTTCCAACACTACACGCCTGTTGCCGGTGCGGCTGCACAGGCCACGCCTGCCAGCGCACCGCCTCTCGAGAGGTAAAATGGAAACAGCATGCCAGGACATGACAGTGGTGGCCCTTTTGAAAAGGGCGCTGTACTGACACCGGTGCAAGACGCTCTTGCGGCACACTGGGCTTTGACAAAGTTTCTGAAGCTGCGGGCAGAGCCAAAACTGAGACGTCTGCGGGTTCTCTAAAAAGACGGGCACGCGGGCAGCTATGCATGCACGCACGATGGCGACAGCGAAGCGAAATGTTGCGTTACCCGCGTCTACGCGGGCTTGCTCAGCAGTTGTCAAGTCAGGCAAGCCAAACAGAAAGCTATCAGATCGGAAAGGTCGCCGCAGAGCGCGGGTCCAGCTGGTGCACGGGGTGCCGAGCCAGACCGCGCCTACTGCGCGAGAGCGGATCCAGCCCAGGACGGCCTTGACGAAGGCCGGCGCCGCATGGTCCTCCAGTGGGCTGCGCCGCCAGTCGAGCCCGAACGCGGCATGCCCTTCCGCGTTTATGGCGGAGGCGACGGTGCTGGCGCCGCAGAACAGCTCCAGAACAGGACGGCGGCGCAGCAGCGGAGGGGCGCCCCGGCCCGTGCACGAACTGGCCGCGCGCCGATGCTGCCGCCGCAGGTGCTGCCTCACCGCCTCCGCGGGCGGACCGCCCTGCCCGGGGCGCGAGCAGCTGGGCGCCTGCGCAGCAGGGGCCAGGCTGGCGCCGCCTCCGGGCTGAGGAGCTCCGCGACGGCGGCCGGCACACGGCCAGTCACTTGCCAGGTGGGCAGCGCGCCGCGGGCGAGCTCCTGGAGGTTGCTCTCGGAAGCGGCTCCGAACTCCATCATTTCCGAGTGGATCCAGGCGAGCTCGCCCGGGAGCTTTGTCTCCTCGGTGTAGCGGTTGCGGCTCTTGAGCGCCTTCCACCGTTCTCGCGGTCGGATCTCCGCCAGATCTCGGCGCTGGGATAGCATGTCGCCCGATGCCCGTCAGCGCCGTAGGCAGTGGAGATGGGGGCGGAGCCGATGCAGCGACAGGTGTCGCCAAGCGCGCCCGAAGAGCGCGCCCAGGCTGTCCACCTCCTCGCCGAGCGGCTGCTGGCTCGGCGCAGTGCGGACCTTCAGCGCCTCCAACAGCGGGCTGAGCCGTGGCTCCTGATCGAAGAAGATGCTCTCGCCGCGGAGGCCTGTCTTCTTGGGCTCCTGATCGCTCTTGGGCTGCAGCAATCCGAGGAGCTGGTGGCCTGCCCCCACGGCCGGCGATGGTGCTATGAGGTGGCAGCCGCAGAGCTTCGCCGCCTCCATGGGCCGGAGGTAGCAGACGAACATGACGAGGGTGCAGATGCCGAGCCAAAGGAAGCCGTCGCGTAGCAGCAGGCCCGCTAGGGCAGGCGCGCCGCGACGAGTCTGCGGGGGCCGCGTGCGCGACGGCGCCCGCCGCGCCCAGGCGGCCGCGGCGCGGCGCGCACGCGGCATCAGCATGGCCGTCCGCTTGCACAACGAGCCGAGGAAGAGCGCGACCGATGCCGGGAGCACGTTGCCGAGGTGCCCGCCGCCGCCGAAGAGGAACTGGCTGTCCATGAAGGTCACCAGCGCCTGGTTCAGCGACTGGCGGTCCGCCCAGTCCAGGTGGGGCTTGCTGCAATAACCAACGAAGCCGTTCAGCGTCACCCGATACAGGCGGGCCGTGGAGCCCCCCCCCCAATCGCCAGCCGCTCCAGCAGCGAAGGGCCCGAGGCCGCCAGCAGGGTGAGTGGCGGCGGCAGCACGTGCCGCAGCTTGGGCGATCTGCAGATTGCCAGGCGCCCGGGGAGCGGCTCGGCTGCCAGAGAACCACCCAGCAGAGCCGCGGCTATGACCGTCCGCGGGGTTCGCCTCCGACGGGGCCCAGCGAACTGACAAGGTTGAACCGGTGGCTACAGATAGCGCACAGACCTTGCGGAGCGTGTTAGAGAGGTGCTTGCTCCGAGCTCGACCCCTCCCAACTGCAAGGACATGAAGCAAATTGTCAGACAGAATCAGGAATCTGGACCCAAACGCCGAAGAAGACCGCAGTAGGTGTCGATAGCCCAGCACGAGGGCCCCCCCTTCGAGCGCCAATTTTTCTGCCCGTCCGTCCACGTGCGCGGCAGCCACCGACCCCCAAGAAGACGCCCGAGTGAGATGAGCTGGGACCTCGTCGAAGTCCACGACGGGCCGGGCCTCCAGGAACGACTCGAACGGGCCCTCGACGACTCTGGTATCGACGTTGCAGTTCGACTCGAACGCATTCACGAGATAGGCCCCCTCCTCATCAACTCCAAGATTGGTGACGATCCCCTCCGTCTCCGAGAACGAGCTGTCGACTCCCATACCGACCGTCCTGTTCCTAGCCTGCGCTCCCCCCTCGATCTTGCACCTCCACTTTTCAACGACTCTCCCCGTGGCGCCCGCGAGGTCCTTTGGAGCGCGGCGAGCAGCGACGCCCAACCCGAAGGGCGAGGCATCTGTGCACGCTATTCGCTCGCGCCATGGAACAGCCAGGTCGGCCGTGCAGAGAGGCAGCTGATCGTGCACAAGAAGGAGCTCACGGCGGACTGACGGCCAGAGCGGGGCAGCGATGGCCCCCGTCGCCTGAATTTACGCATAGGTAGCGTTGAGGATGCACAGCAGCTCACGTCGCAGCAGCAGCGCCCAGGTGATGTGCCCCGCGAGCACCCGCAGGAGGAAACCGCTGATGGCCTGCCTCCGGGTGGCGGCGCGGATCGCCGCGCGGAGCCTCCAGATGTTGCGAGTCCGCGGGCTGAGCCAGCGCCCCTCGCGCAGCGACAGCCCCAGGAAGTCGCGGTCCTGGGAGTGCGCCTGAAGCTCGTGCACCGCGTGCCCGTGCCGGACCAGGTCGTCAGTCACCGCCTGCAGCCGCTGGCCCACCTGCTTCGCGGAGCCGCCGAGGACGAAGTAGTTGTCCACGTAGCCGGCCCCCACGACCGAAGCTGGATCATCAGAAAACTGACGGCCGCAGTGGCCGTCCAGGGCCAGGGCTTCCGGCGAGAAGCCAGCGCGGCACAGCGACGTCTGGGGCACCGTCTGGCACAGGTGCAAGACCCAGCTGAAGCCCATGGGGAGCACCACCACCTGGGGTAGCACGAGGTCCTCGCCAGTCATGCCTGCGACCGTGATGCCCAGGGGCGCCAGGTACTTTGCAGCGATGGACGGAAGCGCGAAGTACTCCCCCATCCCCTCCGGCACCTGCACGTGGTAGAACGCCGCGTCAAGGTCGGCCGAGGTGGCGGAGATGCGCGCGCCACCCGTCTCGAGGCGTCCCCAGGCTGATGCTGAAGGCAGCCGGGCCCTCGGGGCGTCGGCGAAGGCGCAGTTGGCCAGGCGGGCATCGAAGATCACACGCAGGCGCCCGCTCTTCTTTGGTACAGAGAAAATTCCCATGTTGCCCCGGCGCCCATGCGCGGGAGAGAAAACCAGCATGCGGCGCTCAACCATCGCGCCGCGGAATGAGGCGCAGTCAACTGGCGAGCGGAGCAGCGCGAGGTCCGTGCACGGGCCCTGCGGACAGGCCCCCCCGCGTAGCTGACGCGCCTCGTCAGAATCTCGAAGCACATGGCGCCTCCACTTCCGCAGCGCGGCGGGGCCCCGCTCGCCCAGCAGCCCAAGGAGCGGCGCCGGCGGCTGCGAGACATCAGGCCAGGAGACGAGGTCTGGCACGTAGGGAGTGGTGGGCCCGCTGTTGTCAGGGCGCAACGTGGACCCGGCAAGGAGCTCCCGAAGGGCCCCGTTGGGGTCTGAGATGTCGTAGCGATGCTCATCAGGCTCTGGCCCAAGCGCGACAATTGAGTCCCAGATGTGACCAGCGGCGGAGCGCTGCCCAGCCGACTCAGCCGAAGGCGAGGGCGAGGACTGGTCGCGATAAAGGTAATTCAGGGCACGCGCAGCAGCAATGGCGCGGCCCAGCGCATGCTCCAAGGCATGGCCGGCGCGCGCTCGCCGACGAGTTGATGACGGACCTGGCGCCGCATCAGCAGGGGCGAGCTGGGGCAGCGGGAAGATGTCCCTCTGCCGAGGCCCGCCGGTGGAAGCTGAGCCGCAGCCGCCGTCAGTCAGCAGCAAAACAAAACCCTAAGTGTAAGTAAATTCCTTGGGTTGCCGCAAATAAGGCAGCTTGCCGTCCTCACAGAAGAGGAAGACTCAGTGCATGACAAGAGCAATCAGCGACGGGCCTACGTGGCCTCTGGCCAAAGCCAGATTGACTCTGCGTTTCGCTGTTCGCAATTCACATTCCTCTTCCTCCTTCACCGTCTCGGCCTCGGGGGGAGGGAAGGGAAAGAGAGGAGGAGGAGGAGGAGGAGGAGAGGGAGAAGGAGGAGGATGAGGAGGAGGAAGAGGAGGAGTAGGAGTGGGAGGAGGAGTGAAGATGGAGGAGGGAGGAGGGAGAAAGGAGGAGGGAGGATAAAAGATAGAGAGAGAGAGAATGGAGGAGGGAGGAGGGAGGATGAGGAGGATAGAGAGGAGGAGGAGGAGGGGAAGGAGGAGGAGGAGGAGGACAAGGAGGACAAGGAGGACAAGGAGGAGGAGGAGAATAATGAGAAGAAGAAGGAAGGGAGGAAGACGAGGAGGGGGAGGAGAAGGAGGATGAAGAAGAAGAGGAGAAGGTGGAGGTAGCCGTCGAGGACGTCGGGGCGAGATAATACGCCTAGCTCGGGGCTCCCCTTGGCAAAGGCCTGCTCAGAGGAAATACAGGTAACCCCACATGAATTAAATGCGTGACCCTTGGCAACGATGATGCGAGGACATCTCAAGCAAACGCCACCCTTCCCCTCTCCCCTCCTCTCTTTTTTATTAAAGGAGGGGGTGTGCCTAAGCAAGGCATTGACATGCGCATTGTGGCGTGGATATAAGCAAACCGAACCCTTTGATTCAGCATGTGTTCATCCGTGTATCTTCGATCCGTAGCCGCTTTGGCTCGAAATTCAGCAGTGCCATTCAGCTTTCGCATTTTTCAGCATCGCATTTTGCGAGCACCAGCAGCACTCCCGCATGGCTCCGAAGCGCAGGGTCTCAGCAAACAACGTTTCGTCTAAGCGCGGCAGGGTGGGCAAGGACATGGCGAAGCTGCTCGCGCAGGAAGAAAAGCTTGAGTTCCAGAACCAGATGGCGGAGCTGCAAGCTGATTTGATGAAGGACCCGTCGAAATTGAAGCAGGTCCGCACCGTCATGAAGGTCGAGCTTCCAACTGACCATCAGCCCGCCAACCACCTCAACCCAGACCTGCTTGGGAAAGTGATGGAAAAGCTCCCGCTGAAGTACCTGAAAGCATGGATCGAGGAGTCGAGCGGTTACACCAAATCGCAAATCCAAGCCATGTGCTTGAAGGACTCCAAGGCCCCCGTCAAGCTCGCCAGTCGGGCCCTGGTTCTCGACATGACCAAAGAGAGGATCTTCACGGTGGACAAAGACGTCTTGACCGCGGCGTTCAATGGCAGGCTGCAGGAGATGGGAGGTTGGCCCGCTGAAGTCGCGCCGAGTCCCTCGTTCGAGTTCGCCTGGGGCCGCCAAGGCCACTTCACCCTGTTGCCCGTCATGGACTCTGAGACCAAACCTGAAGATCATGTATACACAACTATCAGTTTCAAAGGCGTCGAGGTGCCTGTGTTCTCGGATCTCACCATCAAAGGCACGTACGTTGTCGAAGACAACTTCAACCATTTGAAGGCTTACATCTACGACCCGTGCAAGCCTTGGAACAAGGAGCCGTGCTGGGTCTCCTTCGAGAAGGCTGCCAAAACCAACCTTGCTCCGCCACTGGAATGGAAGGAGTCTGGGAGCAGCAGCTCCCTCGAGGGTCCATGCGAGTCTCCGCCAGCTCCTACCTCCAGCGGGAGTCCCCCATCACTGCAACCATCGGCGACACCCGATTCAAAGCTGCCGCTGACCTCGGACGATGGTATCGAGCAGGCGCTGGAGGACGCCCTGGACAAGGCGAGCGAGTCTTCTGAGCTGCGCGTGCCGTCGGAAGCAAGCACGCTTCCATCGGCGGCCCTTGCCTCCAAGGATGTTCCCCCTCAGCCCAGTGTTCCAGTCCAGCCAGCGACCCAGGGCGCCATTGTAGTATTGCCTCCTGGCGTGCGCCCTGCAACGGCGCGCTCCCAGAGGAAGGCGGCAGCCCTTCAGAAGCTTTCTTCTTCAACGTAGTTTTAGGTTTTACCAAGTGCACGCTTGTATTCATGTGCCCTCGGCCCGCTGATTTGCCAAGTGCCGCGGGGAGGCAACGCGAGTCGGCAGCTGCAGTCACGCTACGGGCAATGCGGTGGTGCTTCCCGCGTGATAGGCGCACGCAGTGTCACGATCAAATGCGCAGCAGAAAAAAGATCGTAAACGCATGGACCCCAACCAGTCGAGTAGGTTAGCAAAGCAATGGGGATGGGGACGGTGGGCCTCGTGCCGATCCCTCAAAATGAAACTCAGGACAACGCTGAGTGAGTGCAACCACTGTTTGGTACTGGGGATCCGCGCATCGAGGCCGCTGCCATAGGAGAGTCGTCAATTGGCATTGCGGGTGGCTATCTGGGATTTGACCTTGGGCCTTCTGTCCCCCCCGATCTGAGAGTAGAAAGAGCAACGAAAAGCAACATATTACCGATAACAAACCTGCATGTCTAAAACACATGGCTATGCTATCACATGCAAACCGTACGCCCAAAACATGTTAGGCCCCGCGTGAACCTCAGAGGCACCCGTGCATTCAAGAAAACCAACCTTAAATCAGTTTATGGCTGACCCCGAAAAGAGAGACCACCAGAGGGCCCGCAAGGTTAAAGCTCCACATCTTGGCAATCTCGGTAGATCTCGCTCGTGGCAGGGTGTATTTGTAGATGACGAATTGAGCCAATGAGATACAGCCACATTAACTTCACTGTCGCGTATTCTGTCTTTCCCTCGCCAGGGTTGGCAACATCGAAGCATGCAGCCTGCCATAGCCATTTTGGTTCCTAGGGGCGTCTTTATCTTTATCAAGTTCACCTGTCTCAGGTCTAGCCCGATTGCACGTGGCATCGCATCCGCTCGCCTGCGAGGTAACAGATGGAGCCATCAGACTTCGACAAATCGCGATTGGAATTGGTATATGACTCAGGTATGCAGCGCTCCGTCTTATTCGAAAAATGGAGCGAAGAGAGATTGTATCTTCCTGCTGGGATGTGGTCTTTAGACTTCGACCCCGAGAGTGGCGACGCAATGCTGATTGACCGAACTTCTGATGGACATCGGGCAATGTGGGTGGACGATGAACTTGAACATGTTGTCGTTCAGAATGAAAAGGGTGAGGTCTTTGTGCAGCGTCCTGGTGCAGACGAGCTTTGTTCCATTGACGATTACAGGTCGCAGTTTGTTGCAATGGAGGCAGGGGGTTAACAACAGCTCGAATCCATGAGCCGTTTGGGTGGTCACAAGGACTGGTTAAGAAACTGGGGCACGATCGTTGAACTGGAGGGGAGTGGGGGAACGCGGGTTAACGTGGGTGTACAAAACGTCGGGGAGAAGATGCATGGCGGGGATGTGGGTTCATCCCTGTGTTGCTAGCGGGCAACCCTCATAACCGTGTGACCGCCCGAAACCTCGTGCGTTCGAGCTGTAGCGACCTCTCAAGGCACCCGTGACCATACTTGGGAGCTCCACTCCTCTGAGGCTTAAAGTGTTCTTGCTGGGCCAATCGGTCGGGGGTGCGTACGCCATGTGGAGCTTGCCCGTCATGTACGATGCCGTCCATGCTGGTGTTTCAATTACGGCCAGCCGATGGCATCAGAATTGGTGGCGCTGGTGGGCTCAGTCTCTCGAGCGCTTGGGCCTGGAGGATGTCGAGCTCCACCTGCGCAAGGCACCGCCCACGAAGCACACTCCAGAGGAGGAGAGGCTGTCGTCATCACGATTTCTCCCAGATGCATCTGCGTCGACCTTCGCCCTCGTCCACTTGCTTGCCAGGTGGTCTAATCCGTCGAGGTCAGGGGCGAAGAAGAAGCAGGATGAACTTGACGCTTGGAAATCATTTTTCGCAGGCTTCCTTGCTAGATTTACCAACTCAGCCGTCGTAGAGTGGTCTCTATTCCTGGACGTCAATGTCATCGTGAGGCCAGGCCTGCCATTGTCGGGGTACAATAAGGTTCGTATTCCAATGCGGTTCGGCGTGGTCGATGTGCGCCCGCTATTTGATTGCGACGAGACGCCTGTCCAAGCAGCTATTTGTGCCCTTCGCTTCAGAGATGCATCTCAAGTACTCTTGCTCGATTTCCTCCTTGCGGTCGAGGCTGTCGGTGCCAAGACGAAGTGGTTGTGGAAGCAGCTGGTATTCCAAGTCGCCTGCATCATTGAGGGCGCGCTTCTCTCCGAGAGGTCTGGTCCAGAGGATCTGGGTGACGAACAGCGTCGCGGAGCCGATGGGCAGCCTGATGATGATGACGTTAACGATCCCGAAGGCCTTAACATTCTAATGTCATCTCGCTCTGACGCACTGTCATCCAGAATGGCCTCGCACCTTGACTCGAATAAGCTCAGTGTGTTCGTTGAGACAAACAAGCGCAAGAAACTCCTACAGTATTTCTTCAGTACAAGGCGTGAGTTCAATAACAATATGCATATCGGCATATCCGTGGACGCTGGGCTCTTCGGCCTCAAGCATCGCATGCTCGGTTTCATCGCTAAGGCTAACGGCGCAGGGGCGTGGCTACCTCCAGTGGCACTGGGGGACTCTGAACCTAATTGGGAAACTCAGACACCTAAGTAATTTTTTCGAGGCCGACCCTAAACACCCCAAGAAAAACTTATGTGTTTGGGTTTCCGCTCGGGAACCCTGTGAAAACACAGGGATGAAACACCTAAGTAATGAAACACCTAAGTTTTTTTTTCAGGGTAATTTTGCGTTTCGGGGGTGGCCCAGGGGCCGCTTCCTCAGGAGTTGCCCGGGCGGAGGAGGAAAGGGAGAGGAGGGAGTCTTTTTTTTCTCGGACGCGCGCCCCCTGTGCGCTGC